GGAAGAATACGATCCGTATGTTCAATCAACTTTAAAACAAGTATTTGATCATTGTGTTTTACTCTATATACCACTCTATTACATTTAAATTTATCAATAATAGTATAATAATTATAGTTTTGATCATCAATGGATACATCTTGTTGACCAAGACGATCTACATGATCAATCACCTCTACAAATAGACTAATTTTCTTGGTAACAATCACTGCTCCCTCTCTCAAATATTTGACATGGCCTAAAGGTGTCTCATTGGTATTAGGTGACAACATTTTTTAATGATAATTACAATATAAAGGAATTCTAAAATCAGAAACTAAAGATATTTTAGTGTCGCCTTGTCTAATTTTATTAATAAAATACATTACAATTTAAATTTATTATTTGATTGATATCTGTCTGTAGTAGGTGTCTTAGATCTCTTTTCATTCAATGTTGTTGTTGGACTATTCTTCATTGTTGGTGTTTTACTTCTATAAGTTGGTAATTGAGTACGATTAGAGGTTGTTGATGTGACCACTGATTTACTTGATGGATTAGCACTAGTCGTAGTGGAATTATTCTTATTGATACCCTTATTGGTAGTGGAATTTTTAGTAGAAGTAGAAGTAATATTATTACTAGTTGAAGGTTGTTGTTGATTTGTATGTACATTTTCTAATGATTCATCATAAATTGATAAATTTGCAACATTACTCTTTGATAAGGCAATTAACTCTTGATTTGTAGCCGAGTTTAAATCTTCAATTTTTAAATCATGATTTGATTCATCTTCTAAATCCATCATTGTCATTTGATTATCATTGTTATTAGTGCCACCATTAATAAATCTGTCATCATCATCTTCATGTTCTTCAACTTGTTCATAATATTGTTGATTATTCATCATCATATCACCACCACCATCACCACCAGTATGATTACTATTATCATCAGCAATACCATCAATACCATCAATACCATTATTTTCTCTATTATTAAATAAATGTTGATTTTCTTCCATATTTTGTCTAATTAAATCTTGTAAACGTTGTTGTAAAATTGGATCAATTTTGTAAGTTTGTGCAAAATTAAAAGCCAATTCTTCTGGTTTATCACCTTCATGTATACCAATTCTACCACTTCTACCAACACCTAAATTAACATCCATATATAAAATAGGTTTAGATCTTTTTCGTTTATCTAATTGAAATGAAAATGGTTTAAAACTAGTTTTCTTATTTTTGTAATCTTCTGTTGATGTTTGTACTTTATCTCTTAATGAATTAAAATAAGTAAATAAACGTTCTCTTTCTTCATTTCCTTTACGTAATCTACCAACTGTTTCTTTAATTCCTCTTATAGAATCAAAATCAACTGATTTGGATAAATTTGAAGATTGATATTTTTTAGTATTTAATCTATTAGGTTTAAATGTACATTCTTCCATTTCCTTTTCTTCTCTTGTTTTTTCATTTGGTAATTTCTTTGGAATGAATGCCATATTATATAATGAATCAAATCTATTAGAATTTGAATGAGAAAATCCTAATAATTTCTTTGAATTAGTTTTAGGTTTAAATGTACAATCTGACATTTTCTTCTTTTCCCATTCTTCAATTTCCTTCTTTTTTCTTTCTTCTACTTGATTTTGTTTTTTAATTAATAGTAAAAATCTTGGTTCATTTGATTCATTATCTGATTGATTATTAGATTGATTATTAGATTGATTAGATTGATTGGATTCATTAATATCACTTTGATTAGTATCATTTGTATCATTTGTATTATTATTATTATTACTGGTAGTAGTAGTATTATTATTA